TCATTACATTCATACCCCTTTGATCAGACAGCTTTTCTCTGTAGATATGTGTGGTTCTTGACTACGTTGGTAGCAGATTGATGTTATCATGGGTATTGATGTGTTCACCTAACTGTATTTACAAAGATGGACTGATTACATAAACTTCAGGCTCAAATACCTTTTGATCTTCATCATTCTTCTTTGTATTGGACTCCTGGCACTCCTTGAGTCACTAAAGACACCCTTCTCCTGCATTATTCTTACTGAGACCTGGCTTAAGGGGCCGATAAGGAAATTTTCCGCGCGCTCTCAAAAAAAAATAGAAAAATTATGAAAATTGAGTTATTCATACAGAAAAATAGCTTAACTCTTTGGCAACACAATGGTACAAGAATCAATGTTCTAGGACCTTTCTACAAGAAATTATAGTCATTTATATCAGGTATGGTGACGGCGATATGGGTAGCGAGTTTGCTCACAGGCCCTATATTTTTTGTAATTTTTTCCTTGTTTTTTATCGCTTTTTCTTGCATTATTCTTCCTAATATAATATTTGACTATTTGGCATCATATAAGGGAGGCGGAGCTTACCGTGAGTGCCAGCCAATCAGGTACTATCTGGGAACGCTCGGCATTACTCCCGCTCCAGAGAGTGCCAGGAGAAATCACTTCATTATTACATTTATATCACTTATATATCAACTCTACAGCTTATTTATCAAACAGAATTGATCTATTATGATGTAAAAAAACTATAAATAACATACAAACATGTTATATAATCTAGACTGAATAAAATAGGCCATAACATGGCGAAGACCATGGGGAAATTTCCCGATATAAATGAGTTACTCTTCTCATGTCGTCTTGAGTAAGAAAAAAATGGTGTTTTGAAGAGGATAACTGCACTAGAACATCATTTACAAAGAAATACACCGAAATAAACGCGATTTTCGCAATTTTTTTTTTTTTTTCGAGAGGAGGGGGGCCGGCCGGCACTCCAGGCCAATATCTCGGAAGTAACTTATTCACTTATTTTCTAAGGTATGCCTTTATTACTTATTAAGTGGAATAATATTCACAGAAATTGTAAAATAAATTCTCTAATTTCCCTCATGGTACATTTTTGGAAATATTCCAAATATTTTGAGAGTTATGTGGGAGTAAAGGCCAGAGTTTTTACAACATTCCAAGAAATAACAAACTTTATTTTTTGTGAAATAAAGATATTTAGAGGAAACTAAACCATGAGAAATTCGTATAAGCATTGTTCTCTCGGCACCAAGTGTCCAAACAACCTTACGTCGTCCCATATAGGATCCCCTTCCTCCCAAAAGGGGCATTTTCAGTAAATCAGTCCTTTTTCAGTCTTTTCTCAGTTGTTGTTTGAGGTATCTTATTGATAAATATTTATATTAATAGAGAAAACACTTCGTCTTGTGCACCAAAACTAAAGGAAATCGGATGGTAAACAAAAAAAAAAAATTTAATTGCTGTGACGACCCCTTAAGCAGGACACAATAGATATCTACCCATACCAGATACACAGCAATCCACAACTGCAGACCATACCATTTGGGGGGTGGTATTGCAATCTATTACTCTAACCAACTATCTTGTATTAGCACCACTTGCTTTAGTGATGAATATGGGGAATAATCATTTTTGCTAATTTTACTGTAAAAAACCTTAAGACGCCTATAACAATCGGTGCCATTTTACCGGATACCCCACAAAAACATCCCAAATTTCAGTGAGAAATCTAAAGGCACTAATAAACAAACAGACAAATGAACAAGCACTACCTTCTCTTACTGGAGACTTCAATATCAACCTTGGCCTACCAGATGATCAGCTTGAAAACTGATTTCATCAACAATATGAACAACACACTTCTCATCCCAACAATAACTAAACCAACCAGGATGACTGAGACAAGTGCAACCATAATAGACCACATATGGCCCAAATATACTAGCCCCTCTTAAAACGGGGATAATCACAGACAGCACTACAGACCACTACCCTACCTTCCTCTTAGCAAACATTAGTAGCCACCACTCGAATACAATAAAGTTTCATTTGACTCCATGACGAGGCCTCAATAAGGAATTTCACAGAAACCCTAGAGACTGTTGACGGGCCCTACAGAATTCTCCAATGCCAAGGTATTGATGATTGGACAGACATTTTTTCTTAACAAAATACTTAGACTATACAACAAACATTGTCCTATAAAAACGAAACAGATCACGAATAAATGGCTCGGTTGCCCATGGCTAACCAGCAGCATTCTGAAATCCATTGATAAGAAATACCAATATGAAAAGCAATATAGACAGGGCTTAATACACAAAGATATTCTTAAACAATATTCATCAGTTCTCACTAAATTAATAAAGAAAGCCAAACAACTGTACTACTCTAGCACATTCACTGACACAAGAGGAGATATAAAAAAAGACCTGGAAAACACTTTCTCAGATTCTGGGGACCCACAAACTGGAAAAAAACTAAGAATTTTGTCCTAACCAAACCTAATGAAACACCGCTGCATCCCACTGATACAGCTAACAAGATAAACGACTTCTTCTCAAACATAGGATCTGATCTCGCCAGTAAAATCTCACGTACCAACGCCCGTGCTGGGGACTACCTAGATGGGAATTTTCCAAATTCCCTCTATCTTGTACCAACTGAGCCCACGGAAGTCACCACGATTATAAAGTCACTCAAAAATAACTCAGGGAATCTGTCTCACGTCCCACCATTATTGTACAAGCGAGTGGCCCATGTCCTTTCGCATGCTATTACATTACATTTTAACAAGTCACTAGAAACTAGCACTTTCCCGACACTACTCGAGACAGTAAGGGTTACACCAATACATAAAGGTGGTGACCCTACAGATGTAAACAACTATAGGTCAATATCAAACTTACCATTGCTATCCAAAATCTTCGAGAAACTCGTGCCCCAGGAGACTATATTCTTTTATAACGCACAAAACATACTCAACCCCTGTCAATTTGGATTCAGGAAAAAAAAAAGCACTAATAAATGCAATTGTAAAAATGCTAGATCTGTTTTACACAACATTGGAAAATAAGGAATATCCGAAAGGGAATTTTTTGACCTAAAAAAAGCTTTTGACACAGTAGACCACACATCCTACTCACAAACTTGACCTTTATGGTATAAAGAGGCCATGCACTTGCATAATTTCAAATCCTACCTTTACTAATGGGAAATCATATGTCACCATTAAAGACACAGCCTCATCAACACGGCCACCTGATACGGGAGTTCCGCAGGGAAGTGTCCTTGGTACCCTGTTTCTTCCTCATTTACATTAATGATCTTCCAAACGTATCCCAACACCTGAAACCCATTCTTTGCTGACGACACGACTTACTCATCTCCCACCCTAATCTTGCCACCCTAAACGCCATTGTCAATGGGGAGCGCTCAAAATTCTGACTTGGATGACAGCCAATAAACTTACACCTTAACACTGACAAAACCTACTACATTATGTTTGGTAGCAGAGCAGATGTTGCGCAACTTAACGTTAAGATCGACAACACTCTAATTGCCAGACATAATGAGGGCAAATACCATTTCTATACCTCGACAACAACCTAAATTTCAGCGCCCATATCCAACACATAACAAAAAAAGTATCAAAAACGGTGGGGATCCTCTCCAAGATACGATATTACATGCCTCAAACTGCCCTTCTCACACTATACCATTCACTCATTTATTCATACCTCACCTATGCTATTTGTGCTTGGGGATCAACTGCAGCAACACATCTAAAGCCAATAATAACCCAACAAAAAGCCGCAGTAAGAATAATCACCTAATCCCATCCCTGGCAACCCCCCCCCACTCTTCATAGATCTAAACTTATTCCCTGTTCACAACATCCACACTTACTACTATGCAATCTACATCTACAGGACCTTAAATCCCAATATTAACCTTGCCCTAAATGCTTTCTTGATAGGTGTGACAGGACCACAGGCATAACACCAGACACACATCTCTATGAAAATTCTCATGCCCGACTAAACCTTTACAAAAATTCATGTTATCAAAGGGCCCTAAAATCGGGAACACCCTACTGAATACTCTAGAACTGCAGACACATTCATCACTTTCAAAACTACAGTTAGAAAACATTTTATCTCCCTGATACACCCCGTCAACTAACTACATGTAAACCACCTGGTGGTTCACACTTACACTCACTCACCCATTGACTATAAACACAGAAATACAAATCTAATCTTAAAATATGTATCCTAACTAGTCAAAAGGGCTTGCCTATAAATACTCCAATATAGACACTATGTATTGTGCCAAAACAAAAGCATTCACATTGCTAAACTCTCAAACTATAATGTAGTCACTTAGCCTTAATACCATAATCTGTAATAATTTAAAGTTTAGAATTAATCTAAGTCTGCCCGAAATGCCTAACCATGCTAGGTGTCCTAGTGGCCCCCTCTGTAATTAGTATTTTAAAACATGTAAACCACACAATATTCAAAAGCTGTAAACCCCGCATTGTAATCCTTATAGAGAATAAACTTGATTGATTGATTGATTGATGAAGTCACTGTGTGGCAAAACATTTCCTCAGTGAAAAATACCCAAGTGTTGCACATGTGTCTAATTTATCATTCAACAGTGATGGCACATCTTCTTTAGTTCTTAGTCTGAGATACATTTGATTGACTTAATCCCTTCAGTTCATTCCTACTCACACTTACTTAATTCTTTTTTTACTTTATTTTACTCAGAGCTTGGACATCCAGATTATTTTATTTCATACAATCTACACTCAATTTGTCTTCACATTCATAGAATATCCATTCACATTAAAAATCTCATCTGATATTAAATGAGATGGTGACCTTAATTACTGTTTTGTCACTTATTTACTTGATTTCTCAGGTGCAGATATCATTTTTATTGAATATAAAATCTGTATCATTTGTTATTTTTAGGTGTTGGCACTCATGAATACTGACCTGCTACGGCATCAATCTAAATGGAAGGAGCTGCTAAAGGAGATGCGATCCATCATGCATCAGTTGCAAGAAAAAAGGCCTTTGCTTGATCAAAAGTCTTGGTGCTCCCATTGGGACCGTCAGCTGTACAAGGCTCTGGAACATCAGTTCAGTTGGGACTTGAAGCTCTTAACCCCAATACCTTCCAGAATTCAAAGTGGAGTTGACATACAGGTGTGAAATACTGTGTTACTTTGGTCTTGTGTTTGTAGTTTATGCATTAACATGTAATAGATGTTTATAAATATTTGTTGTTTGCAGGCAACAGAGGCTTCAATTTATCCCCCCAAATGGAAGAAATTCGCATGAAGTATTATGGGCAATTGAAGCGTTTTCTAGTCATTCCATACCATTTTAAGGTACAAATTTTAAAGTTTCTGAATTTTGTCTGACCTATAATATGGCTGAGATATAAATTAATTAAAAATATTATTTGAAAATGCATGTATAAGTAATATTTTTATTATATTGGTTGATACATTATCATCTCCCATAGGGGTGAATGAGGGCAATGAAACACCCCGTATTCCAACCATCGTAGACCGTAATGCCCATCGTTTTTCACAGCTGTTTCAGCGAGCTGAAGAATTATTTGAAAAGACTTGAAAGTACAAGGAACTTTTTGTGGATTTTTTGTGCCTTGGCTCCCTGTGATGTGGAACAAACTGGGGAGAAACTCTGTAAAACAGCTGAAGACGGGACCGGTAAGAATATCTTTGTCGTAACAATAATCTGTTGCTACTTTTGGTATGTTATGAAGATTGTTAACAAAATTGTATCATGTACAGCCTTTCCTCACTTAACGATAGAGTTCTGTTCCTAAGACCATGTCCGGTAAATGAATTTTTCACTAAGTGAGGATATACTAAGTGGTATTGGGTTGTGTCAGCCATCTTTTTTATTGTTTCAATGTCACCTTTGCACCATTTATAACATTTTTTGGTATATTTTTAAATGTTTATACATTATTTACTCTGTATTGTAATAAACAGAATAGTGGAAATCAGTTCTAAAATGCATTACGTATTTAGGTATGAATACTGGGGCAGGAGAAACCCCTCGTAAAGTCCTAGTCGTCGGTAAATGAGTACGTTGACAAGTGAGGAGAGGCTGTACTCCATTGAAAGTTGTGTATCGAAAAATTTGCCATGTATGAAGTTGAAAATGTATGGGAAAAAATACTCCTGTGTTTCAGACACTTTCAAATTTTCCAAATAAATTTTATTTAATATTTTACATATTGTTACAGTTTATCTTGCCTTTCATTCTAGTTATAGTTGCCTGTTGACATGGAAGTATGAGGAACAATAAACATACACTGTTGTAAAGGCTCTCCTTCCTTCTCACACAGTTTTTACAAGTAGGATTTGGTTTGTGTCTCATTTTCTGAGAAATAAGTGTGGCCCTTTCCTTGTTTTTTCTTCAGTTCACACATTCCATAACTTTTACCTTATTTAGCTGTATTCATCTTTTTGACATTCATGTCAATGGGTTATAATTTGTGTTACACAGTGCACAAGTTCTTACTTTCTTCTCATTGTCTCCAGTTGTATGTAAGGTGGATTGGGCAGTCTGCATTACATGTACACTACCTCATAGCATATCTAAAATTTCAACTTTCTTTAAATACCATCAGAGCTTCATATGTATTCTTCCTGGCATCTTGAGCATCACCAATACATGTATTCCTATTGGATGCCATGATTAATATGCAAAGATGTGACAGGGTGAGGAAAAGATTCAAATCATTTAATAAACAAGTAAATATGGCATTTAATTTTCCCAGAAAGTAACAGTAAAGGGGATCAAGGAGTAAGAAAAGGTGAGGAGCTGTGCCTCTCCTAACACTCAACCCATAACCAACTTGGTTGGAAATGAAAAATTTTTACTGCTCATAGTACCCAAATTTTACTAGTTAACTTAAAGCTTTTTCCCTTCATGGAATGTACTGTCAAAGTTTTTTCATGTACTGCAAGTTTGGTTTCACTTTTCTAATAACCTTTACACAAAATCACACTGTTGTTTTACTTTAAGAAGGCTTACTCTATATCTTTCTCATCTTAGTTTGGAACAGTTGCTTTAGATATATATTTAATGTCACTTTTCTCTGCTTTTAAATTAAATTAGTAGTAGTTAGTGCAGCATATGAAAAGTAAGACTCAATACAGTGAAGAACTTGTACTATAGTACAGTATATGTTTAAAGCTATTACAATACTTTCTTCACTAAGGTATTTGGGGAGGGAGATCATGGTATGAATATGATATTGTGTATATGGTTTCAGTAAGGATTTCGATAGAGTTCCACATCAGACGCTGTTGAGAAACTTGAGGCACACGGTTAAAAAAAGAGAATTTTTTTCCTGGGTAGAGGCATGGTTTACAGATAGGCAGCAGAAAGTTTTTTCATAAATGGGAGAAATCACAATGGGGGACATCACAAGTGGCAATCCACAGGAGTCAGTGTTGGGTCCTTTGTTGTTCACAATTTACATAAACGACATAGATGAGGGAATCAATAGCGACATAAGCAAATTGCTGAGACATCAAAATAGGCCGTCCAGTTCATTCTAATGAGGACATTAGAGCACTCCAGGGTGATTTGAATGACTGATGCAGTGGTTTAGAGAAGTGGCAGATGCAGTTTAATGTAGGCAAATGAAAAGTTCTAAATGTTGGACAGGACAATAACCATGCCACATATAAACTAAATAATGTAGATCCTGATATTATGGATTACAAAATGGATTTAGGAGTTTTGGTTAGTTATCTGAAACCAAGACAACAGTGCACAAGTGTTTGCAATAAAGCTAACAGAATGCTTGGCTTCATAGCATGAAGTATAAATAATAGAAGTTCTCAGGTTGTTCTTCATCTCTATATATCTTTGGTTAGGCCTCATTTAGATTATACTGCTCAGTTTTGGTCACCATATTACAGAATGGATATAAATGCTCTGGAAAAGATACAAAGGAGGATGACAAAGTTGATCACCTGTATCAGAAACCTTCCCTATGAGGATAGACTGAGGGCCCTGAATCTGCACTCTCTAGAAAGGCGTAGAATTAGGGAGGATATGATTGAGGTGTACAAGTGGAATTAACAAAGGGGATGTAAATAGCTTACTAAAAATATCTAGTATAGACAGAACTCGTAGCAATAGTTTTAAATTGGAAAAATTCAGATTCAGAAAGGATATAAGAAAGCACTGGTTTGGTAATAAAGTCGTGGATGAGTGGAACAAACTCCGGAGTGCCGTCATAGAAGCTAAAACGTTGTGTAGTTTTAAAAATAGGTTTTGGGTAAATACATGAGTGGTATGGGTGGGGTGAGTTGGACGTGACTAGCTTGTGCTACTAGGTCGGATGCTGTGCTCCTCCCCTTTAAATGAATGTGACTGACCTGACTAGGTCAAGGCATTGGCTTAACCAGTGGGAGAATTGGACCTGCCTCGCATGGAGGGGAGGCCTGCTGCGTGTTCCTTCTTTTTATGCTCTTATGTTCTTATACTTAATTTGTTATTTACAAGAAAGTGTTTGTACTATATGTATATAAAAAGAAGTTGTACTATCATTTTCCTTGGTATAAATCGTATAGTAATCTGAATTTTCTATACAGTACAACTTTTTTTATGAAAATACCACTCAAGTGAGCTATAGTATTTAGCAAATAAAGATTTTTTCTGAATGTATTACAGTGGAACCTCAGTTTTCGTCATTAATTTGTTCCAGAAAGTCTGACGAAAATCGAATTTGACCAAAACTGAAGCAATATTTCCCATAAGAAATAATGTAAATCCAATTAGTCTGTTCCAGACACCCAAAAGTATTAACAAAAAATACATTTTATAGAGAATAACTATAGTTTTGCAAACAGAAAAACAAAGAAAAATAAATAAAAAAAGGACTAATAAAATGGATAAATGGACATTTAAAAATCACTTTTACCTTTATTGAAGACTCTTGCTGGTGTATGGAAGATGCGAGGAGGAGAAAGGGAGGAGGAGAGGTTATTGGTTGGAAGGGGGGAAACCCCCTTCATAAAGGGCTTCAGGTACAAGTCCCTGTCTGGGGTACTTCCGTAAATTTGTCTTTTACTGGCACTGGACCCATGTTGCACAAAAAATCTGTTCACAGTGGTCTGTTTCTGGCATCTGTTTAAGATTTGCCTAAAATGGGACAAGGCATTGTCATTGAACATGTTTCAGACACGCTTTGCACAGCTTTGTAGGGTGATATTCTCCACAAAACTTTGCAACTAACTCCACTTTGCACACATGTCCTTAATCACTGAAGAAGGCACATTCTTCCCTCTCTCTTCCTCCTCCTCTGAAGCAGTTTCCTCAGCTGCGATCTGTTGCTGTTCCAGTTGAAGGTGTTGCAGCACTTCAGTGGTTAGCTCTTCCCTGTGGTGTCCACCAACTCTTCCACACCTGGCCACTCACATTCAATCCTGTAGACTTTCCCAAAGCCCCATGGTGGCTTATTCAGCAGTCGCACTCAATAAACAAGCACAAAAAACAATGGATTATTAAAAAATGTTTTGGATGAATGCACAGGGTAATGCTCACTCCCACGAGAAACAAAGCCAAACTGTCTCAGAACGCTTTGGGGTGCTTTGTGTGGGCATGGACAGGCGGACATGTTCAGTGCAGTGGACCAACGAAAACCAAGGTGAGAATGAAAACTGGGACAAAATTTTGACGAAAAAAAGTCATCGAAAACTGAATTTGACGAAAACCGGGCAAACAAAAGCTGAGGTTCCACTGTACATATACTTGAATATAATTTAAAGCATTCTATGCCAATGTTATAGATGCAAAGTATTTATTTAAATGATATTTTACTTTATAAAAACTCAGAAATTTTCGAGCCTCAAAAGCAAAGGGTCAAGAGATTGAAAATTACCGAGTACAGAGGAGAAACTGGATTGCTTCAGCATAAGTTTTCCCGCCATTACAGATGGAGTTGGAGATAATGAATCGGCGTTACTGGACATCCTTGTACAGTCCCTTCATAATGCTATTTTAAAAGATATCAATACTATTGAAAAAATTCACCGAGGAAGCAGTAGATGTAAGTGATTGTATAAATCATGTTCTGTATCTTTACTTGTAAATACATGTATTTTATTTACCAGAATTTTTCAATTTGGGAGAGGATAATTTTTATGGAT